AAGGAGACATAAAATCAAAATAATAAGTTGGGTTACTAACCTCACAAAAAATATTCACTGGCATTAATGGAAAACATTGTTCTATGATACTTTTATAATTTTCTTTTTAAGATTAAATGATTATTTTTAGATCCTAGACAAATTACAGTATAATAGAAAAACTCTTAAGTAGTATAGTCCTATTTCCACCATGGCAAGACAGCTAACCTTTTAACAAGTTGCTAAACCTCTCTGAGATTTCATACTCTCATATGTAAAATGAAGGGTTAGAATGAATAATCTCTGGGTTCCCTTTGAACGCAAACATTCTAGGATACTAGGTGTTTTCTGTGTCTCATAGTTTATCCTTTGAGGCCAAGCTATGGGTTATTCTGAAATTGCTGTTTTTTTAAGGGGAGGGGTTAAGATTCTGGGTTCCAGAGAAAATTAAGTATCTATCCTTCGTCTGCAGTTCTATCATCTAGCTGTCTCAGGTTTTTCAAAGACAAAGCAATGAAAAAGCTAGAATCAAATTAGTAAGAACAGAAATTCTTGAAAACACTGGAAGGACAGACACAAACTCTTGTATTCCTGAGGAAATTCACCCCCAATTCCCCAAGCTGAAAACAATGAAATATAGCAAAACAGCATGTGTCCATTTTTATTTCTGTTCTAGTTTAGTTTTTAGTAAATCACTATGCTTTGTCCATTGGGTACTGAGTAGCTACCAATTCAGTGCTTTATAAATAGTTGTATTTAAACAAAGGTCCATGGGTTTATGTTTACCTATGTACTAAAGAATATCTATATAAAAGGCTTTTGAGTATTTGCTCAAAAATGACTATAGTTACAGCAGAAACCCACTAAAACACAGGTAATGATGACACAGATTCAGTTATACTGTACTTTGAGTCAAGTAACTTTATTTATTTATTCAACAAAGATCATTATAGGCATCCATAACAGGAATGATTCATTCACTGTATTAGTCACAAAAACGGACATGAAGATGAGTAAGACAGACTATGCACACAAAAAATTTAAATCTAGTTGGAGAAATAAGGTTTATACATACATAAATAAATATGAAGTAAAATGAGATATATGTATAAATAGGTTAAAAAAAAAAAAAGACCAGGGGCAGCTAAGTGGCAAAGTGGATAGCGCTCTGGCCTTGAAGTTAGGAGGACCGGAGTTCAAATTCGTCCTCAGACACCTGAAACTTACTTAGCTGTGTGACCCTGGGCAACTCACTTAACCCCGATTGCCTCACCCAGAAAAACAAAACAAAACAAAACAAAACAAAAAAAACCACTTAAATTCCAAGGGAGAGTACTTTATTTCCTTTCCGGGGTTGAGGGGCACCAAGTGGAAACAAAAAATCATGGAAGACTTAATGTAGTAGATGGCATGTATGTCTGTCTCTGAAGAATAGGCAGGATTTCAAATGGAAATATTGGAGGGAAATGCATTCCATTTACTGGGAATAGTATGGCAAAGGTAAATCCAGGAAAGTATAAGACCAGTTTGGGGAACATAAGAAGTTTAATACTACTAGAAAACAAGGTAAGTGATTAGGAATAACATGATATAAGATTGGAAAAATAGGCTGTAGTTTGATTATGGAGCTTTCCTTTTGTGAATACTTATATATTTAAGTCAAAACCAATCATATGATTTAGTCAAAATGAACAAAGTTTATTTCCAAATAACTAGTAAGTTATTATGATAACCAAAAGTTTGGAAAAGCTGCATACAACTTTAGATCTCTTTAAAAATTTGCATACTATTATACTCTACCAATTGCTTAGAAAAATAATAAAAAAAACAAAAATATGACTCTGAAATCTAACCACCAACTAAAATAAAAAACATAATATGAAAACATTAGCTCAGAATATAGACAATAATCCAATAATCTACAAGTGGCATTCAAAAGACCCCTCATCTCTTGCTCTCTCCTGAGCTCTAACTCCTATCACCAACTTCTGGCTAGTTATTTTCATGTGGATGTTCTTTAAGCATCTCAAACTTGACAAGTTCAAAAGTGAAATCATTCATTATCTTTCCCTGTAAACCACCTCTCCTACTAACTTGCCTATTTCTGTTGAGAATGGCACCATTCTTCAAGTAATCTAAGTTTATAGACTCAAGAGTCATTTTTGACTCTTTATTCTGATTCACTCCTCTCCCTCATATCCATTAAGTAGCCAACTCTTGCAAATTCTACCTCCTCACCATCTCTTGCCTCTGTCTCCTTCAATCTACTCCTACCACAACTACCCTAGTTCAGGCCTTAATGACTTCCTCCTGACTACTATTCTTAGTATATTCTCTCTCCGATCCAACCTCCAAACAACTATAAAATTAATATTTCTAAAGAATTGGTCTAACCAAATCAAAAAGCTATTGCCTCAAGGATAAAACGAAAACTTCTTTGTTTAGCATTTAAAACCTGTCACTAACTCTAACCTATCTTTCCAAACTAGTTTAACATTACTCCTGAACATGAACTCTACAGGCTAGCCAAACTGATCTAACTTCCTCTTCCCCATACATAAAAAACACTGTATCTCCCATCATTGCATAGACTGTCCCCCACATCTAGAATGCTCTTCTTCTCATTCCTGCCTCTTGACATCCCTAGCTACTCATTCCTGCCTCTTGAGATCCCTAGCTACTTTTAAGGTTCAGCTCCTTTGGCCCAAGTATTCTTGATTCCCCACAGCACTCTGCCCACCAGAAAAGTTACTATATATTTACATTATATACTTCTTTGTTATATACATTTAAAATGTAAGGTCCTAAAGGGTAGGGGCCATTTTAATTTTTACCTTTATATCCCCAGAACCCAGCACGACTAGGTGATTAATAAATGGGTGAATGCTTATTCAGTCACTATTTTGGCCTGCTCTCACAATCCAATTACCTGTCTGTCCTAACCTTGCACCCTATCCCTTATCTTAAAATAAGAAAGGAATTAATTGCAGAGAAACACCACATATAATTTAAAGTAAGACTTAGAAAACATGCTAACCATAAAAGTAGGCTGTTTCAGGTTCAAATGAAGTAATTTCTGTATCTTTTGTAATCTGTAAAACACTCTGTAAATGCCAGCAATAATATTACTATTATCACTATTACTGGAGATGTTCTTTAAAACATCAAATATTAGGGATTTATATCAAAACAGAAAGGGGACAGTGGCCAAGTGAGGCACATAAAAAATTATTCTGGTCCTTTTTTCCTTCCAAAATTAGCCTTTTATTTTATACTCATATGTGGTACAGTGGACATGGCACTAAATTTAGAATAAGAGGACCTGAGTCTGAATCTTGGCGCCTCCTCTGTATGACCTTGAACAAGTCACTTAACTTTTGTGATCCAGTCTCCTCATTGATAAAATGAAGTTGGAAAAAATGATTTTTAAAGACTCCTCACAACTCTGTATCGTAAGAACCTATAACCCTATCAAAGATTAACTCCTGGTCAAATGAAACAGAATTCCTTCACGTACTACTAGCATGTTTTAACAAGTGGTTTAAGAAAATCCCTTAAAAGAAGATGAAGGCTTCCTGAAGCAATGCTATAGCAGTCATCCAGATAGTGAACTAATTAAGAGAATAGTTTGTTTAATTATTTTTAAATTGGTCAAACGGCGAAGTCAAATGTTATGGGCTAACGGCACCTGTTCAAAACAAACCCTTTTCAAACAAGGGGCACTCCAAGGCCTCAAACAAGGAAGTGAGAGTGACTACACATTTTCTTTGTTTTACGAAGGGCCCCGTCTTACTTTTGGCTGGTGTCTGGGGCTGGGCTGGGCTCAGCTATCATTTCCGAAGTATCCCATCAGCAGTTGGGAAATCGATTTGACTGGGTCCTCCAAGAAGTCCTGCTCCGGGGGAGCCAAACGAGTCCGAGGAAGCCACTACCTGCTACCCGCTCGCGAAGGAGCAGCCGAAGAAATGCTAGTGGGAGGGGGCGGGGCCGAGGAGGAAAAAGCAAATAGAAAAAATTAGCCAAGGCCAAAAACAAAACAAAAACAAAAACAAAACCCAAACCAGGAACAACCCCACCCCCAAACTCTTCAATCTTGCAGAATTACTGTCGCTACTTAACGCATTTAACACACGGGGGAGGAAGGGAGAGGGGGGCGGGTGCCGGTCACCTCCAGCGGGAGGGCAGTCAACTTTGGGGGGTGTTTGTTTCTGCTAAAGGATTGGGGGGTGGAGCTTTTGGTATTATTTGTCTCAGTTCGGCTTCGCTTTCTCTTACAAGGGGGCAGGCGGCGGCTTCCCCCCCCCCCCCCCCCCCCCCCGGACGGGCGACCTGCGTGCCCTGAGAGTGCGGACACAGACAGCGTGGGAACGCTCCAGGGCCCGGGCCTCCCTGGGAAGGAGGAGGGGAAGAAGGATGCGGCCGCCGCAAGGAGCCGGGGGCCCCAGGCCTGGGCTGGGAGGGAGCTGCAGGGGCAGGTGTGGAAGGCTAGAAGGGCTGGAAAGGGGCAAAGCTCCGGCTGGCGGATCAAACAGATGGGAGGCGCGGAGGTGCTCTCCCCACCCCCTACCTCGCCCCTACCCGCGGGGCCCGGCAGCCCGCTGAGCTCGCGCTCCCGCTCCGAAGGCTGCCCCGAGGGTTCCGTCTTCACTCGAAGCCCCGGGGGCCCAGGCCCCCAGCACTCTCCTAGCCCACCCCACCCCCACTTCCACTCCGACTCGGCCGCTCTAGCAACTGCCCTCTCGGCCAATCGGGGAAGAACGAACACTGGTCACCTGACACGGTCCAGCCAATAGAAAGACAGGTTAGATTCGGCGAGCGATATTGGCGCGGGGTTGATCCGGACTACCTCGAAAAAAATTTTCAAGACGTGGCTCTCGAGGCCCCGCCTACTCATCGTTCTGGCCCTGTCCTGGGTTCTAGCTCCGCCTCTTTCGCAGGCCATCTGCGGCCCCAAGGTTGACGGATTTATCCCCAGCAGGGATCTCCCGCCTGCAAGAGGAACGCACGTTCCATATTTTTTTGTTTCCGGGTGGGGTACCCTAAGAATGAGTACTAGCAGTCCCCGCTTCCGGCGTGAACGGCGGTGGGGCTGCTGACGAGAGCGAAGCTGTGTGATGTGGACCCTCCGGGCCGCCGTCCGCCGCGGGCTGCCGCTTGTCCGAGCGGCCTGTAGCTTCCGTGGGGGCTTTGCGCCAGGCCCCCGGGATCGTCGTGTCCGCGCGCTTTCCACCTTTAGCGGCCAGAGCCCAAACAAGGGCAGGTCGCTCACTGGGTCTGGGGGAGGAGCGACTGCTGGGAGAGGCCGGAAAGAGGAAGACGAGGAAGAGGATGAAGCAGGAGAGGAGGAGGAGGATGAAGAGCTGCTGCTGGAGCGGAAGCCTTTGCTGCCCCAAGGGGCCCAGCGTGTATTTTTGCTTCACCCGGATGTCAAATGGGGAGCTAAGAAACAGACGCTGACCCGAGGTAAGAGACAGCCCTGGAGGCGGGGCTTGGGGCTTGGAGAGGGGAAGGGGCGGGGCTTTGCTGGGCCGGGCTGATGATGATGATCAGGGGGCCTGGGTGGAGTCTCTGCTTTATCTCCTGGCTGTGGTCGGGGCCAGATTGTCTATTAGTTAGGGATTATCTATCTAAATCGCTTTTTCCATCCTCCCAACCCCGCAAAATTTCCAGAAATAGTGAAGCCTCAGGGGGAAAGTTCTGTTTTAAAAAAAATTTCCTGTTTATAAATGTGCACAAGTGTGGCGATACAGATCCCTGTAAAAAACGCCTGCTGCGTACTCGGTGCTAAGATCTGGGAACACAAAGAGACAACCCCAGCCCTCCAAGGCTTTACTAGCTAATATAAGAAGATCATGAATAAATGGAAGCGGGGTGGGGGGAGGGGAGGGTCTTAAATAGGCACTCCATCATCAGGATCCAACCAGCCTTTGCAGCCTTATTACTACTATTAATTTATGTCAATTCAGTAAACCTTTATTAAGTGCCTACTATGTGCCAGGCAGTCTGATCCTCTCCACTGGACTAGCTATTTCCCCCCCCCAAAATTTTTCTCTTCATTTCAAATTTATCTCTACTGCTACCTACATGAAGGCTTCCCTGATTCCTTTCCCTCCCCATTTGTTAATGCCGTCTCCCTCCTTGAAAATGACCTTGTTTATCCATATTATATATATATGTATTACCCTCTCTCTCCCTCCCTTACCCTGCCCATAAGGTATAAGCTCCTTAGGCTCAAAAAATAAACTTTGGGGGTTCAAAATGAGAAGTGTCCAGAAAAAAGAAGTAAAGCTAGAGCCAGCCTAAATGCTGTGGGCTTTGTGAGCATTCACAAATTACAACGTCTGGGCCCTACAGTGAGCTATCAACAACTGTTAGGTCCTCTTGGGCATAGTTTATGGTCCTGAAGGACAGACATCTGGTGGAAAGATACAGAAGAATAAAGAAGTTAAAGAGACAATTTTTAATTTGATATAAGGAAAGACTACCCAACTACTGTTCCAAAATGAAATGAGTTTCCCCAGGAGGCCAATTGAAGTGAAATTTGAGATTACAATGGAACATTCAGGTAGAGATAAGCAAATAAAATGGAACTTCTTTCTGAAAGAAAATATAGATTAGGATGCCAACCCAATTCTGGCTTCACCCTTGTCTCCTGTTTCATGGACTAAGATGATACAGTTTACCAGGGTCTTGATTTCTCCACAAAGCTGAACTTCAGGTGGCTGAGGCAAAAGCTCTCGTGCATACCCTGATGAACTGGTCAGTGGAAGAGACAATGATTGTATCAACAAAAACCCCAGACAAGAAGCTGGTGTTTGGCAAGGGGAATTTTGAGCTTCTGACAGGTGAGTGGGATTAGGAAGCATTGATATTGTATTTTATGTATTGTTGACAGTGCTTCTGATCTCTACCCTTTTGACATTAGGATTATGACATTAAGAAAATAAATTTACAAAGGGCTAGAATGAGATCTTCTCTATAATGTACTCCAACCCCAGAGTGCAAGTTCTGTGAAATTTCAATTGATTTTCTCTTTCTCTTAGAAAAAATTAGAGGATCACCTCAAATAACTTCGGTCTTCTTGAATGTAGAAAGAATGAATCCACTGACAAAGGTATGATAATTTTTTTGTTCATTTAGATGGATGCCTTTCAGTAAAATATGGAATAAATTAAAAACCTATTAAAAAGATATGAAGATAAGAGAAAATTATGCTTGTAGAAGATCTCACCCAAAGTGCTTTCCTCAGTATCAACTCTATAACTCTGTCAGTTCTTTAGATCAAGAAGGTAGCACTTTTTATTATTTTATATATTGAGAGCTCTCTAGATTACAGTATAGATAGTGATCATCCATATATATGAGAAACAAAATAGATCTTTTCTGCTTGTAATTGATAATCTTACATTTCATTTAACTCCCATTACCTGTTGCCTCATGAGTTTGAGTACTCTTAGGAATAGTTCTGTTTGGAGTTCTTTTCCTCGTCTATGTTCAGTAAGAATTTATATGTAGCTATATATGTCTTGCTATCTATCACTTGTTTTTCATGTCTTTTTGCTTTTTGGGTTTGTTTGTTTTTTAAAGAAAGAACTTGAAACTGCCTGGGGAGTAGAGGTATTTGACCGATTCACGATTGTTCTTCATATTTTCCGCTGCAATGCTATGACTAAGGAAGCTAAACTTCAGATTGCTTTAGCTGAAATTCCACTTCTCAGGTACTTCCACACAATGAACCTCTAAGCAAAACCTTTATCATGCTATCACTTCCTTCTCCTCTAAGCAAAATCGAGTAAAAATGCACCATGTTTTTACAAATTAAAATGTGCATCCTGAGAAAGTTTTTTATTCTTTGTTTTGAAATTTTTGTGTTAGCTCACTACCACAATTGTTTCAAAAATTTGAATCATTATATTCTCACTAAAAATCATATTAATAATAGCAGATATCCATGCCACTGCCTCATTTTGTGGGTGGTCATCTTGGTTTTCAAAAGCTATATCAGCAAAGTACAAGTTCTAGCAAGCCCTACCAAGGTAGAAAGCTGTTAAGTCTTATCCTGATGCAAACCATATATGTGAATCTGAGGAACAGCCTAGCGGTGTTCAGAGAAGCTTATTACCAGGTTGATACAAGGGTAATGAATTTTTCAGCCACTGCAACTCATAGAGACTGCCTGTTAAAGGATAGCAAAGTATATATGAGACTGTAATTTTAGAATCCAGATGTAGTTTTTGCTATCTTTAATAGTGAAAATAGTTTGGTATTTTAAAAAAATCTTTGCAGATCTTTTCCATTTTTCTTCTGTTTGTTTTCCTACTTCCACTTTCATTCTTAAATGCCTTCAAGATGACTTTGCTTAATTGTGCCTCTCACCAAGCTTTCTTCAACTGAGTTTTATCTGCTATCCCTTCTCTCTGTTTCATGAGATAGTTCTGTTCATAATGTTTCTTTGAAGAGTTTCTTAAAAGTTTTACCAAAAATTTCATATTCTCAATTGAAAGTACCTTTGGCACTCTCTCTCCACTAGACAGACAAGTCAAGTATTTGATAAGGAAACTGCTTTTTAGGCTCTTTTGGTCTCCTTGTTATGACAATTGATTTATGGTTTTTTGGCTGCTAAATAAAATTATTGTAAAAAGTATTAGTGTCATTTCTACTGTACATTAAACATCTTTCATTATTGATAACTTCTTTAGATTGGTCAGGATTTAGTTATTTCAACTACATGCCATCACTTTTTATCACGATAGTTCTTCTAGCTTTATACTAATTCTGCTCTTTGCACTAGCAAGTTGATAGTCTGACAGTACACGGATTAAGACTCTGCCATCAATAACAAGTCATTTCCTATCTGTTAAAATACAGTCAGTTTAATCTTTTGTGACAAAGACCCCAGCATAGTTTGCTTAAAATAATGTTTTTTGATTATTAATTGTTTTTCATATTTAGAGACATGTTTAAGCTGCTTGATTTCTTCCATTTTTGTCACTTTCATATTTACATTTTTATTCTACCTTTGACTATAATTTTTTATGAAGTTTGTATTTCTGTAATCAATAAGTGTATTTGCTAAATGTTTTAAAGCAATTTCACTCCTATTTCAATACCAGGTCAAATCTGAGAAATGAAGTTGCTCAATTAGATCAGCAGGGTGGTGGCTCTCGCTCTATGATGGGATCAGGTAAAACACAATACTGTAGTCTATATGTGGATACAAGTGAAGCCAATAGCAAAGGTGTTTAAAGTCACTGTACAAATAAATGTATTGGGAATATACCTGACATTGTAATGTTGTGTGTTTAGTACACATTCAAAATTGAAAAAAATAATTCAGAATCATGCCATCTCTTCTACCTCCCCATCCACATTACTCACTAACAGAGTACAGTTTTGTCAAATACCTACCATATACATTGCAATGAAAATATTTCTTTGAGCTGTGGGTGACCTTTTTTTTCAACTTCTATTAGAGCAGAAAGGTAGTAGAGGTTACATAAGAAAAACAGTCAATGATGAGCTCTTAGTTAGGGTGAATTAGTAGTGTTGGAAAAGGATATACTGACTCTACGTTTCTTTCCATTATAAAGACCTTTAATAAAAAACTTCTTTTCCATTTTTATCCTATTCTTACTAAAAAACATAACCAAACTTTGGATTTTTAGGAGAAACCTTCATGCAAATACAGCAGCGTGTCTTAAAAGAAAAAGAAATAAAAATTAAGAAGGCCCTGGAGAAGCTTAAGAAAAGAAGACATCTTCTCAGAAATCAACGTAAGAAGCGTGAGCTTCCTGTTATTTCTGTAATGGGATACACAAATTGTGGTAAGGAGAAAGTCTAATATGTAGGGTTTTTTATTTATCATTAGGGTGTTTTTTTAAGTGCTTCCTTGGAAAAACTTTAGGAAATTCTATGTAGAAACGTTAGAAGATTGATTAATATTTACTAAGAGCCAGTACATATTTTGCTATGGAGAATAAACTCAAAATAAACTCTTCAATGGGAAATTCTATTCTATATGGACCATTAACATCAATCAAATATTCCTTAATCACCTATTTAATATCTGCCTGTCATTTTGATAGGCACTTTTGGATACCTCTGCTTTTTATGGATGCTTTTTCATTTGAAGTCCTAGGATTATTTAAGTAGAACATTTACTAGAAGGACAAAGGCATTTCATGTTTTGAATTAATAAGATTTTGTAGTCTTTTTTAAAATGAATTATGCTGTTCTTAATATTTATGTAAAGCTTCTGTAATTAATGTTCTTCATGTAACAAATGAAGAGGAATTTATAGGACTGAATTTCTGTTTCATCCCTCAAAGTAAAGAAGGGACCAGGTGCTTGCTTGTGTTCAAATGAAGGAAGAAAAACAGTTATCAAAAGATTACAGATTTAGAGCTAGAAGGGACCTTAGAGGCCTTCAAGTCCAACCCCCTTATCTTGCAAATGAGGAAATTAAAACACAGAGGTTAAACATATATCCTGTAATCACACAGACTGAAAGTGTCTAAATTCTAACTCCAGCTTAGCATCTGTCTGTACTTGCAGGGTACAAGCATGTAGTTCATCTCAGCAAGGTGGCTTGAATCCCTCAAGAGCATAATGTGCCCATATACTCTCTCCTTACGTATCTGGGGTTTCACCTCCAATAAGTCGTTTTTGTTCCCTCCTTGCCGCTGTAAAGGTCATTCTGCTTTACAGAAAAAACAAAGTAAGAGTTGAGCTGCTCTATCTTCTCTCTGTTGTCCCATCCTCCCCAAGAAAGGGTCCCAGCTCCTCTTTGAACTGCCTTTTTCTTCCAACCTAACTTAAAAAAACAAAAAACGCAACTACTTTTTATTGTCCTTGACTTCCTTTACGAGCTTCAGTTCATTCTGAGAGCTGGCATTCCCACCACACTCTTTTTTATTAGTCTTTTGTTGCCTGACTATACTTCTATCCTCTGTATGTTTTAAACAATTTGATTTGGTTTACTTCAGCTAAAAAATATCAAGTAATTAACATTTGTCAATAACTTCTTGCCTTCTATGAGCCAGAAATTAAGCCCATAATTTCAAGGTAACTAGATACTATTCAAAGAGTATCAGCAGTCAAGGAGTTCCAAAAATCCATCCGTGGAGCCTTTTGTTGTCACTCTCCACCCTTCCCATCTAAACAGGCTGCCGTGGCTTCATCTCATTTGCCACCCACAGTGCACTTCCCTAGCTATATAAAATGTCATTGTCTTTTAACGTAAAGTGCCCCTTTAGGGTTTGTATGACATTGTCGTATCAATTTGTAAGCTATGGGGGGGAAATAGTTACTTAGTTCTGCTCAATGCCTTATGCAGAGATACACAATACTGTAATTTTTTTTTATTCTGATGAGAATGATATTTCAGTGTGTTGGAAAAATAAAATTATAGAGCCAAAAGGGACCCTGGAGATTATGAAGTGCAAGCCCTCTATTTTACAGAGGAGGAAACCTGAGCCCAAGGAAGGGCTGTGATTTACCAAGGTTACACACCTAAGAGTGAGGGAGCCTTAAATTGGTTTATGGAGAGAGGCAGCAAGGTGTAATGGCTAGAGACCCAAGTCAGAAAGACCTGGGTTCAAGTTTTCTGCCTCTGTCATACACTGGCTGGGTGCCCTGAGCAAGTAATTAACCTCTCAGTGCTTCCAGTGGTGCTCTAAAGCTGTAAGTTGTAAAACAGTTGCTGATCTGCATTGGTAGAGACAGTTTGCTCACTATGCCAATGAAATCACAGGTCTTGACTCAAAAAAAGTGAAAGATAATTACTCAGGTTCCCAAATGGATATGTAATCTCATCAATTCAAGAATTCTCTCGAAAGAAGTAGGTTATAGACTATCCATTCCTACCCAGCCTGTGTGACTTTTGTCCATGACCTCCCATAAGTTTGCCGCCCAACACAGTGGAGGACTTCCTTGAGTTTTCCTAACATTTTAAGGGTGCCACTTGACCAGTCTGGCTCTCTGCCAGTCATCCCTCACTCTTCACATGACCAGCCCATCTTTCAAACTTCATCATTGGATATATGTTTTAGCCGGCTCACACCCACCATACACCTCTCCATAGCTCTGTTTGTGATATTCATTTTAAATTCTAGCAACATGGATAAAATGTTTCTTCTGAAAAATAGGCCTTTGCTTTCATGGGAAGATTGACATCAATAAAAAAGCTTGCTATATTTTCAAGGCCATCCAACCTATTCTTATCCTCCTGTTCAACTTTGGACTCATCTCAATGTCCATCTATGTTGTCTATCCCAGATATACGAAATTATAAACATAGTTTATAGAATTATAATTTTAGCTCAAAGGTTAAAATTTTTTAATAAATGTTAAAATATTTTATTTTGACTGCTCTTTTAGGAAAAACCACTTTAATCAAAGCTCTGACTGGGGATGCAGCAATTCAACCACGTGATCAGTTATTTGCCACTCTGGATATCACAGCCCATTCTGGATCTTTGCCTTCCCGTATGACTGTTGTTTATGTAGACACCATTGGATTCCTCTCCCAACTTCCTTATGATCTCATTGAGTCCTTTTCAGCTACACTGGAAGATGTAGCTTATTCAGTAGGTTAATATTATAAATGTTGCCAAGCAGTGAAAGTTTTCTTTCTTCCTTTTTTTAAAAGTTATTAATTTTTGCAAGCATTTATCTCTCCAGCAGTTAGATAACTCAGTGGATCGAATGCTAGGCCTGAAGTCAAGAAGTCCTGAGTTCAAATCCAGCCTCAGACATTTACTAGCTATGTGACCCTGGATAAGTCATTTAACTTGTCTGCCTCAGTTTCCTCATCTGTAAAATGGGAGTAATAATAGCACCTCCCTAGCAGAGTTGTTGTGAGGCTCAAATGAAATAATATTTGTAAAGAGTTTAGCATGGTGCCTGGCACATTGTAGGCACTTTTGATTTTAAGTGAATGCCAGGAATAGTCCATCAAATTGTCAGTAATAAAGGGTTCTAAATGTTATATTTGTTAAAATTTGAATGAGTAAATAACTTTAAACATAGTTAACCAAAAACATCAAAGAAATAAAAATAAGGAGTAAAATCTTATCTAAAACCCTTGATATTTAACAAGATTAATGATTTAACAAACAAAGTAAACAAGCCCAAAAAATGCTTTTGTTCTGTGTGCTCTTCCAAGTCTATCAGAAGTTCTACTACCTCTGGCTTTGTTTTATTTATTTTAATTTCATATCTGTTTGTTTTTATATCATGTAATAATAGTAATTAGCATTTATATAGCAACGACTTACTGTGTTACGTGCTTTACAAATATGATCTCATGTGAGCCTCACAGCAACACTGCCATAAAGGTGCTGTTATTATCCCTATTTTACAGTTGAAGAAAGTGAGGCAAATAGAGGTTAAGTGACTTTTCCAAGGTCACACAGCTAGTAAGTGTCTGACATCATACTTGAACTAAAGTCTTCTTGACTCCAGGCCCAGCACTATCCACTGTACCAACTAGTTGCTTCATTTCCAAATATATATCTCCCTCTTCTTTCTTACTCAGAAAGCCATCTCTTTTAACAAAGATTAAAAAAGGAGGAAAAAAAGCAGTTCAGTAAACTAAATCAACACAGAACCTTGTGTAGCAGTATATAAGATATTACAGACCCATAGTACCCCCCATCTTTTCCTTAAAGGGAAGAAAGTTCTGGCTTTGTTTTACAAGTAACTTTTTTGATTCAGGCTTGCCTGAGAGGATAAGGGCTAAGCCATATGACATCTTTAAATCGCTTTTAGTCCTATGGATATTCAAAGTGCAGTCTAATCATTGTGACCTTTTGAGACTGAGAACTCACCTTTATTAATAGACAAATACATTACCAAATATCTGTTTTGTTGGTCTTGTAGACAGACTCATTATAGAAACTGTCCTTGTTATTAACCATATTCTTCATATGTGTGTTGTAGGATGTAATAATCCACGTAAGGGACATCAGTCACCCTGAGTCTGACCTCCAGAAAGCAAGCGTTTTGTCTGTTCTAAAGAATCTGAATCTGCCAAACCAGTTACTAGGTTCAATTATAGAAGTTCACAACAAGGTGGATTTGGTAGAACGGTAAGAAGAAAAAGACAGTGTTTTAAACTTATTTTTTTCCACACCCTTCTCTTCTTGGTGAAATTTTCCTTGGCAGACTATTTAGCATCCCTCCTATTTTCTTGAAACTTTTTCATCTTCAGTTCTTCCATACAGTGAAATTTCTTACACATGAAAAGAAAGCTCTAATAATCATAAGTACTGTATTTTATCTACAATAGCTTTCCCATGAATTAGTTAATTTATTTTAGTCGTGTAGACCAGGCTGTTTGACTCCTGAGGTGTTAAAGAATACAGGTCTTTAGAATTCCATCTGGCAAGGGTGGTATCAAAGCCTGGCACTGATCATTTCAGTTACCCAGGCTAACCCTCAGTCTCACTTCCTTCATATGTATTGTTTATTAGTTGATCAATTGCTTCTTCATACGGCTTTAATAATGCTTGCTAATTTTTTTCTTTGTTACTTAGATATGAACCTACAGAACCAAATGCTATAACCATTTCTGCTCTTCTTGGGCATGGATTGGAGAAACTGAAAGCAGAGATAGAAAGTGCAGTTTTGAAAGCAACTGGAAAAAAACTTCTCACTCTTAAAATTAAGCTGGAAGGAGCTCAACTAAGGTAAACAGAGAGGTAACCAATGTTGACTGAAAGAATGATAAGTAATTGCTACGATGAGTCATTGGTGGATTGACTTAGAAACATGGCTTTTGAAGGAAAAACTTGATTAAAAACCCTAGATAAATAACTGCTTAAAAAGCTTTATAATTAGATTTTGCATTTTCCTGAAAGCAAAGGAGAGTTTCTTATGTCTCTGAAGCAAATTCATTTTTTATATCTGAAAGTTATATTCTTGAAGAAATCTAGTGCAGATGCTATAACATAACTAGAGCAGCATCTCAAAACCCTGCAGAGTAATCTGGCATATGGACTGGGAAATTAAAGATAATATCTGGAATGGGAAATACTAAGGCAATAGAAAGTTTGCAGTGAAGTGCTGAATGGAAGTGTGATTAAGTAAAGGGCAATTGACCCAGACATGGTTCAGGCCCAATCTTGGGGAAAAAATAACAAATTTATTAATTTACATAGAATTTTGAAAAGAGGTAATTTAGAAGGACAAGACTTCAGAACATCAACTAATTATTATGTTCAAGATGGAAAGTACCTTAATATTAGCCTAGAAGGGAAAAGGTTGCCAGTCAAGTGCAGAACTGGACCCAAGAGTAATTATTCATTATTCAATGTCCTCTTGGAAGGAGTGCCCCAGGATTTGAGCTCTGTGCTCTTTAACAGTTTTATCAGTAACTTGGATAAAGGTGTAGATATTATGTTCCTCACCTTTTAGAGATGACACAAAACTTGGAGGAATAGCTAAAACACTGGCTGACAAACACAGTGTTCAAAAAGATTTTGACAGGCTAGAACACTGGGCTGTATCTAACCAGATGAATTTTATTGGAGATAAATGTAAAGTCTTAAAATATTTGAGTTCAAAAAATCAATTTCATAAACACAAGACTGGGCAGGCCCAGCTAGATTAAAAAGATATGGAGGCTTTAGAAGACTGCAGACTCAATATGAGTCAGGAGTGTGTCATTGAAGTCAAATCATTCAAAAAGGACTTACGTAATGCCTGCTAAATGTCAGGCACTGCACAGGATACAGAGACAAAGATAAAACAGGCCTTGCTCTCTACTGGCTTCCATTCTATTGCAGAGAAAACTGTGAATAGAGATAAGTAAATACAAAACATATACAAAGTAATGGAAGAGGGGAAACTCAAGTGAGGGAAAGAAAATAGGCCAGTACAGGAGATAGCACTTGAAACAAGCCTTAAAGACAACAAGGGTCAATAACAAGGTGGAGGCAAGGCATGGGAATAGCCAGTGTACAGGTAGAGTTGGGATGTGGAATGTTGTGTATGAGGAACAACAGATGAGCCAGTTTGACTGAAGTAAATGAATGAAAAAAACATTAAGTGCTTACTCTATACCTGGGAATGTGTTAAGGGGATACAAATACAAAAACCAAGATAGTCTCTGTCTTCTAGGAATTTACATTCTGTATAGCCAGGGAGGTGTATTTTAGTCTGGGAGGTGACAAGGATGGTGAGTGGAATCATGGGGCAGATGATGGGCATGCCCTTTCCAAAAATGGTACTGTTATTCTGATCACTGTTCCCAGAACAAGGAGGTTCACATGAAGAGGCATAGCAGGAAGATGGCTAGGTAATGTAGCATGGTCAGGTCTGAGACCAGCTAGATATAAGGAACTCTGACCAATCAAGAGAGGATGGCCCCAGGGCAGCAGCAGCAGCAGCATGCCACCAAAAGTAGGCTGGAGCCAAATTGTGTAAGGCTTTAAAAGCAAAACAAAGCATTTATATTTTTACCTAGAAGCTAGGGAGCCACTGAAATTTCTTAGCAAGAAAGTGACATGGTCAGATCTGTGCTTTAGAGATATCAATTTGGCAGCTTATGGAGAATGGACTGGAGAGAAAAGAGCTGGAAGCAAGGTGACTAATTAGGATGACGCTCTTGAAAAAAGTTATGTGATGCAGCAGGAAAGATAATGAACCAGGATGATGGCCATGTGAGTGGAAAGAAAGACAAATATTGTAAAAAGTAGCATTAATAAGATATAATAATTAATTGGATATAGGGGAGCAAGGGTAAAATAGTAATAATAATAGCTAACATTTATAAAGCACTTAGTGTGTGCCAGGAACTGGCACTCATTCTTTCCAGTTATCTCATATGATCTTCCTAACAACCCTGGGAGGTAGGTGCTATTATGATTCCCATTTCACATTTAAGGAATGTGAATAGTGGTTAAGTGATTAACAGAGGTTAAGTGAGTTGCACAGGGTCACTTAGCTAATAAGTGTCCCAGGTCACATTTGAGCTCATGTCTTCCTGACTTCACTCTAATCACTGCACCACCTAACTACCTCTAGGAAATCAAGGATTACTCTCAGGTGGTTCCCTCAACAAAAAAAAAGGGAAGTTATGGGAAGAGATGAGTTTAGGGGGAAATATAAGTTTAATATGCCTGTGAGATGTCTGGATAATACTGTCACATCAGGAGTTGGTGATGCTCGGAGAGAGGTATAGGCTGTATTTGTAGATTTGGGGTTCACTTACTTAAAAGTTGAAACCTTGGGAGTTGATGAAATCACAAAAATAGAAATGGGCCCAGGACAGAATCCTGGGTGTACCCACACATAGGAGATAGGGCATGGATGATGATCTGGCAAAGGAAAGTGAAAAGAACTGATAAATAAAAGGAGAAATAGAAATAAAGTGTCACTAAAACCCAGGGAGTAGAGTTTCCAGGGGTAGAAGTTGATCGATATTGTCAAATGCTGTAAGCGGCCAGAAATGACAAAAGATTAGATTAGATTAGATTAGACCATTAGATTTTTGGTAACCTTGGAGAGAGCCATTTCAGCCACGTGATAAAGTTGGAAGCCAGAGGGCAAAGGGCAGACAGGTGAGTCAGAGGATGTGAAGCAAAGGCAACAAGTGTAGACAAGTTTTAATAGGATATTGGCCGTGAAATGAAGGAGAGATGTACGACTGATAACCTCTCTGGAACTGTAGGTCAACTGAAGGGTTTTTTAAGGATAGAGGAAAATTGGGTATGTTTATAGACAACAGGGAAGAAGCCAATAAATAGGGAGCTATTGAAGAATAAAGGATGGGGAAGGAATGATTAAGAGGACAAGTTGCAGGGCAGCTAGGTGGTGCAGTAGGTAGAGCACCGGCCCTGGATTCAGGAGGACCTGAGTTCAAATCCAGCCTCAGACACATAACATTTACTAGCTGTGTGACCCTGGGCAAGTTACTTAACCCCATTGCCTAGCCAAAAAAAAAAAAAAAAAAAAGGACAAGCTGCCAGAGGACATAGGCAGGGATAGGATCAAGAGCATAAGTAGAATTAATCTTTGATTTTTGTCAAGAAGTTGCAGCTCTTCCTCTGTAACCAGAGCAAAAGATGAGAAGATAGGAGAAAATGTTGAGAAGTTTAAGAGAATAGGGAGCTTGTAGCAAATGGCCTGTTTTCTCCCTCCTGAGAGAGAGATATAATGTGAGAGACTTGAGGAGAGGAAGTTTGGAACAATCATGTGAGGAGTGTGAGAGTCAATTATGGAAGAGAATAAAAGGACTAGAGATTAATTTGTAATGGACATAGATTTTTGTGACTCTTCAGTTATGTTATAGTAGAAACTCCTTTTCAAACAGCGGTTAGGCTAGGTGGACGCTGGTAACTTTTTCACCTTAGAATTTCTGTGACTGATTTCTCTTGCTCTTTAGCAACATGTTAGTAAAAGTGGAAAAGGGAATGGTGAGCCATTCCAGGCTTTGATTTTAGCAAGGCATGAGTGGCAATAGAGCAGGAGATTCAAGGGTAGAAAATAATTTATACTTGGACTGGTTAAGTATAGGGTCATGACTGGGAAAGGATAAAGTGAAGCCAGAGCAAGGGTAATGGCACTAGGGAAGAGAAGAACCAAAGGTCCCAAGGAGATGAATAATAGTTTTAGAAAGAGTAAGGCACAAGGAGAGATAGAAAGATAGCAGGTTATGGTGAGGTTGAAGAATTTGAGAATTCTTGATTATGGGAGTATGGATGATGGTGAGATCAAGGATTTAGCCTTTCTTTTATTTGGTTGAGGTGGAGAGAAGGTATAGGTCATGGGACTTGAGGCTGAGGAAGGAAGAGGCCAGAGTAGCTGAGGAAACATCAGCATGTCTTGAGATATCCCCCAAGTCGAAGAAGGACAAGTGTTAGAGTAGAGAAAGTCTGTGAACTAGGTACTGACCTTCTGGAGAAAGGAAAGAAAACAGCTTGGAATCAAAAAGCTTTATTTTGAGGAATCCATAGGCTTCACCAGACTGAAGGAGTCCATGATCCCTGATCTGGATAGAGTAAATGTCAAAGGATTTGTTTGGTTGTTGAGTGACGACAGCAGAGGGGGAATCTAGAAGCAGCAAGAAGCGTGCCTACTCCTCTTCCTATTCCAGATTGAGAAAGTAGACATGAGAGAGGGCGTTTCTGGTACTGGAGAGAGTGGTTAGGGATACAGCATCCTTTAGGAGGAGCTCAGTCACAAGGAGTATCAGAAGGCAGAAGTAGGTAATATGGGGGGCAGCTACTTGACTCGGTGGCTAGAGCACTGGCCCTGGAGTCAGAAGGACCTGGGTTCAAATGCGGCCTCAGACACAAAAATCTTACACTAAAGCTATTATAGAAGGATGATAGTGCTACTATATTGTGCCCTACTCAGACTACAGCTGGTGTATTGTATTCCATTTTGGGAACCACAGTTTAACTGGAGAAGGGTCCAAAAGAAGGAAAACAAGGTGAAGGGCCTTATTTAGCCTAGAAAAAAGCATACTCTGAAGAGACAGAGAGACATGTTTAAACAAACAATTGAAAGGCTGTCAATTAGAAGGATTAGCTTTATTATACTGGACCTCAGAGTCTAGGACTAGGTGGGATGGGTAGAAGATTCAAATAAGCAAATTTAGACTTGATGGAAAGAATAACTTTCTAACATTTAAAATTGTCCAAAATGTAACAGTCTGCATTTAAGGGAGTGAGTTCCCTCTCATTGGAACTCTTCAAGCAAAGGCTTATTCGATTTATTGTAGAGGGGATTCTAATTCAGGTTAAGGACTGGAGTCAGTAGATGGCCTTATAAGGTCCATTCCAACTCTGTAGTTCTTTTCACAGAACATGCATGCACACACGCGCACACACACACACAAAGTGTGAACTGGAATAAAATGAAGATCCTTTACCTTAGCACTGTACTTGTCATACAGTAAATGCTTAAATTTTTTTTCATTCATTTATTCATTACCTCCTAAAAAGTTCACAGCATTTATTTTTGTCTTAGTTATACAGAGACTGATCATCTCTCCAGTTTTGCTCAAGATGTATTAAAATTCATCACTGGGGGGCATCTAGGTGGCACAGTGGATAGAGCTCCAGCCTTGGAGTCAGGAGGACCTGAGTTCAAATCTGGATTCAGACACTTGACCCTTACTAGCTGTGTGACCCTGAGCAAGTCACTCAACCCCAATTGCCTTATCAAAAAGCAAAAACAAATAAACAGACAAACAAAAAATTCATCACTGGGTAGTGGATGGGCACGTATGTTACTTTTCTTCTTAAACCTTAACGAAATATAATCCCAATGTAAACATTCTGATTTAACCCGTACTGGAAACTATAGCTTTTTTTATTTTCCCTGGTATATACAGTTACAACTTTTAACCAGCTTTATGTTTTAAATACAGATTTTAAAGATGATCAAGTTCTATCTTAAACATATGACAGTTTCTCACATTTAAGAGAAAACTACTTAAAAACAGCTTTTAGAGGAAAGGTATCCTACAAATCTAATAAATAAATGAACTGGTATATGTATTTCCACTCTTTTTAAAAATACTTATTTTTTAAAAGATTCACAAATCATTTACATATTATTTAATCATGTATCTTCACAGAGCTTTTCTGTTTTCAAAGCACTTCTACATAAACTGGCTTTAGTCAACAAGTTGTTTCTTAAATTGCTTCCACGCACAGCACTATATGGAATACAAAAGAAGTCTGGGAAAAGGGCTCTTTTTCAAGGTAGAAGTTTTTAATGTGAAATGCACGTTGGTGGCATAAACATGCTTCCAGGAAAGAATGAACCATAGCATTAATGGATTAATGATTTTCATGAAGTGTTATCTTTTACTTATAGCTGGCTTTATAAAGAAGCAACTGTACAGGAAGTTGATGTTATACCTGAGAATGGAACCGCCAATGTTAAAGTCATCATAAGTAACTCAGCTTATGGCAAGTATAGAAAACTCTTCCCGATATAACAATGTATTAATTATATTATGGAACAATTCAATGTTTTAAGCATTCTGAAGGAATGCTGCCTAAATACCAAAGGAGGTACTCCACTCTGCCTCACATTTAAGATATGTTTGCTGCTATGTGAAGTGACAGTGATGGCAATCTCACTTTGGAAATGGATGTCAGATTGTTAATTTTGAGTTGCTCTATATAGATTAAAATTATACTGGATGAATCACCTTTAGTTTCCAGAAATTTGTTAGATCCTGAGTGCTGCCTTCATTTGTTTTTTATCTGTAAATAAATATTTATGTTATTTTTTGAGCTTTTTAAATCTTATGGGGTTTGTTTGTTTTTCATGGGAGAGGAATCACAGTAAAGAAAAAATGAAATTTGCCTGTCCAGCCATGTATATTCTTAAGATGACAGAAATTATACATTAGTCACTAACCCCTTTTTTCCCCTCCCCATCCATGCCACTCAGTGTTTTTAAGTTAATACAATTTCACCCTTCAGGAGAACTAAAACATCTTTCTTCTCATACCTCAAACATAGCCCAGCTAACTCATTCTATTTTAAATAGAAAGAGAGAAAATGTTTGTATTTTAGGGCTTATGATAGGTATCACCCTATCTTGTTTGTTTCCTAACTATTTTCTTATCTAGGCTGAATTATTTCTTTCATTTCCTCATTCTTTTCGCAAAAAACCTATTAAGCTCTAACTATAAGTATTGCACTATCCTCATCCTAAGCATTGAGCTTAAAAAGTTAAGATTTGTATAGGCCTTGCCCTCAGAAAATTTGCCTTTTGCTGGGAGTGAGTAGGGAAGTGGAGGAAAACTGGGAATATAGCAGATGGAAAAGGAAGAAGGCAACAGGTGAGGGTGGGAAAAAGGAAACTAGAAGGAAAGCAGAAGTAAGAAATACATCTTCTCTCATGGCATTAGACCTCTAGAGGCAAATATTTGTGTTAGTGGGTAATAGAGTTGTAGAAATCATAAGGACATTCAATTATCCACCAAATTCATGACTATATGATGATTCCTTTACATTTTAGGAAAATTTGATTATATTATAGATCAGATTATTCAGAAAAATACAGAATATGTATACCACCCTCCCCCTTAATTTGTATTTGTAGACATTGCCTAGTAGTATTCAATCAACTAAGGAAATGGATTCATTCCTTGAATTTAATAATTCCCAGCAAAGGAAAGAAGAGGCACAATTAGGTTTTTTGAAAGGCTATGGTACTTGAGAAACAGTGATTAGACAGCTAATGTTTTTGAAGGCCTTTCCCCTTCATTAAAATCAAAGCTGCTGGCAGTATATAATGACTGTGTTTACTATAATGAAAAAACTATAAACATTCAAAAATTCATCCTCATAAATTAATTTCTGTGAAATTAAATGATTCATTTCAGGAGACAGTACTGACAGAGAGAAGACGATTATGGTACCAAATTCGTCTTTTCCTAACTAAATGATAGGAAATATATAAGAGACATGTTAGCAAACTATTTCTCTTCCTAACTTTAAGCTTGCTTCTTCTTACTTCATTAGTTCTTTATGGGCATTACCTTTTCTGGTTGTACTTACCCAGCAAAGTAATCAAATGAGATAAAATTTGTAGAGCACTTAGCACGGTACCTGGCAAATAGTAGGTGCTTAATAGATGCTTCACTTACCAGCTGTGTGACCCTGGACAAGTCACTTAACCTTGCTTGCCCTAGTTTCCTCATTTGTAAAATGAGCTGGGGAAGGAAATGGCAAACCACTCCAATGTCTTTGCCAAAAAAAATCCAAAGAGGATCACAGTCAGATGCAACTAAAACGACTGAACAACAACAACAAATAAATGCTTATTCTCTCCCAATAGTTATGCATCTTCTAATGAGTTTACCCTTTGAATTTATTCTTTCAGGTGTTAGGGTGTCAATCATTTACTAAATGACACTCTGATACCTTGAAGTGTTGTTGTTGTTTCAGTCATGAAACATTTCATGTTGATCCCTTTTAGGGTTTGTTTGTTTTTTGTCAAAGATACTGTAGTGGTTTGCCATTTCCTTCTTCAGCTCATTTTACAGATGAGGAACTAAGGCAAACAGGGTTAAGTGACTTGCCCAGAGTCACACAGCTAAGTGTCTAAGGCCAGATTTGAACTCACAAAAATGAATCTTCATGACTTCAGGCCTGGCACTGTATTTATTGTGCTCCCTAGCTGCCCTTCAAATACCTTGAAGTATCCTGAAAAATTACTAGTTTGATTCTAAGATGAATCATTTATAGTATTAAAATAGTTTTAATACTGTTGGGCCTCAGTTGGACCTGGATGATAGAAAAGAAAAAGCTTACATTTCAATATACAACGACCTGCAGCATTTAAGAGAACATTGGCAATTATATACATTTCTAGGTATCCACTACTCTTTTTTTATTTTAATTTTTTATTATGAATTTGACCAATATCAACAAAAATAATTTCCATTTACAATGAAAAACAGGAAAAGAGAATTCTATATGAAACCATGAATCTATTATGTACAGCTTGTTTTTTAAAGTATTTAATAAATGTAACAGCAACTCCAATGTCATCCTGCTTGTGTGTGTCTCTCTCTAAACTTCCTTCTGCTGTCTTCTGTGTATTTTCTAATTGTTTCATTGACCCTCTTTTTTTCCGCCAGGTATTAAAATCCTCCACCCAAGAAAACCTCCATCTCCTATAACAAATAAATAACATCACACAAAAGAAACAGATCCACACATTATCAATGTCAGAAATGTTTGCCTCATTCTTTACCTCTAGTATATCATTGCTATCAAGAGGCAGAAAGCAGGCTTCATTACTGGCCTTCTGGAGCCATGCCCAAAACATTCCTTCTTGTGAGAAAAATGAAATAATAAATACAACTTGTATTTATTCTATTGCCAAAAACCCTAAAGTCACAGCATCTTAAAGCTACAGAAATAAAATGAGGTAATGTAGCCTTTTCATTTTTGAAACTTGGACACATAGGTATGTGAATACAGGGAATGAGTACGTGACAAAGACATTGCTTGCAAGATAAAAGCAAGGAATTTAAAAAAAAAAAACCACCTTGAAAAACAACCAAAATAATTATAAGAGCAAAATTTCAACTTTAGATAGGGAACACAGAGTTCAAGTTTGAGGACAAGAAGTTTTAGAATGCTAAGTGAACAGCAAAGGGGTTCTGTAGGATTGCTTAGGAATTCATGGAAAGCAAGATTATCTGAAGCAACATTTTGATTAGGCTGCATGAGAATGGTAAATAGAGTCCAGGTGGGGACAAAACGGGAAATTGTCAGGAGGAAAACTTTGATAAACAAAATGGCATGGGATTTGAGAAAGAAGAAAGTTCATTAAAGAAATAATGATCACTACTTCCATGCATTCATATATGGAAGGTTGGTCCTTTTCATCAGTGATCCAGATGGATATGCCAGAGCCTAATGACCCTCTGGTAAAATGTAATGGGGATATGTTTCTATTATTACTTATACAATATAATAAAATTTCTGGGAATAATAATGAATATATTAACATCTTTAATCTGAGTAATAAACTGTTCTCAAACATCACAAGAAATTTATTCCATTTTACAACTGGAAGCACTGAAGCAAATCAGTTAAGCCAGTGGAAAGCCTCAAGGGCCAGGGAAGAGGAAAGTCCACAGGCATTTCTAATGAAGCTAAAAAAATAAGCTATGAGTATAAAATTCTGAGAGAAATCTGAGACAATTGGACTTGTCCAACAGGAATATAAAAAGCTTTTCACATTCAGTTGGACCTGTGGGCTTATCTTTTGCAGTTGTCAAAATGCTATTCTAGTGGTCTTTTAAAGAACTGAAGTATACAATGGTGAGTTTCTTTTACCCTAAGGAATCTGCAGTATTTATCTTGACTGAACAGAGAATTTAACTTCATGCTGACCTTTTCTTAAGAGCTCCAGATGGTTCACCCTCTTACAAATTTCCCATAATTATTAGTGTATATTATGTAATCATATCTTCCACTAGGGTCCTATTTGGATGCCTCATTGTAGAATGTAAGTGACCTCAACTTCTTGAAGGCAAGCTCTGGCAGCTTGAAGGGCTTTTAAGTATAAGCCTAACAGTGGTCTGAATTTGGAGAGGCATGACCAGAAGGTAGACCATTAGAAGATGAATTTTTTGTTAGCCACTGCAATTCATTAAACTATCTACTAAGGTATAGAGGAGTTGCAATCTGCATAAGTGGAGGGAGTACCCACACTAATGAAATCATGTCCTTAAGTAAAATTAAATCCTTGGGGATTTAATCACTTGGGAAACGTAAAGAACAATGGCTTGTCTAAGAGGCAAAGCCAGGATAAAAGCTCGGAAGACACCGATTGGTAGAATTCCCAGGATTTCTGTTCTAAGGCCACTACTGCTTGCTTCTACTCAATTCCCTTTCCGTTCTGTTGTCCAATCAGAAGCCTCAAAAAATACCTAGAATGATTAAAAATCAGGCAACAAAGAGGCAACCTGAATACCTCACCTCAAAAAAAAAAAAAAAAAGGAACATAGTCAATCTATAAGAAGTTTTTGATTAAGAGCAATGACATCACTGACAAAACTGTCAGATCCTATGAAGTCTCCAGCAATGATATTGGTACACTTTGTCCCTGGACCGGGACACTGTTTCCGAACCCATGCATTCAGGTATGGGAGGTTAGGTAAAGTCATCTTCTTCAGTGATGCAGATGGATGGGCCAGAACATATTGAAAGTTTTCAGTAAGGTTAATCCCTGCAACAAATAATTCATCTGAAACAAGAAGACATTAGAAAATTATGCATCTGTTTATTATATATCACCTAAGCCAACAAGTTATTCTATCCTTTTGTCTACCCATTTTTTCTGCATGTTATTGGGGTCTCTCATTTCCATCAAGAAGCTGAGGACTAGCAGTCTTGTCTTCTTAGTAAACTGTGTTAACTCTATAGGAAAATAAATATCTCAGAGTCCATGGCCCCCAAAAATGAAAGTAAGGCAGCTACCACTTTCATCTAATTTCTCTGAAATCAAAAACATCATACTATAGACAAATAAACACTATCACAGAAGGCATTTGCTGGGTGCTGCTGTCAATGTGTGCTTTGATGATAAAAGAATGTGAAATTGAGACAGTGTGGTATAGTAGAAAAAGCAGTAGACATGAGTTCTAGTTCCAGCTCTGCTGTGAGCTGTGTGACCTTGGTCAAATTGCTTAGTCTATTTGGGGTCCCATTTATCTCACCCATAAAATGAGAAGACAGAACAAGACCTCTAATGACCCTCCAGCTCTAAAATTATATGATCTATGAAGTCTTACTTTGCAGTTTTCAACATGGTCCTCTAGGGTATTGACTGAAAAATCTAAGGTAACGAATCAAAAAAGCAAGGATTTGTTTCTGAACCACTGCCCGCACATACACAAAGCATTGCCTCCAATTTAGAACCAAGCAGTTGCCACAAGAAAAAAAAAGTCTGCAAAGGAATATTTATTGAATTCCCACTGCAAGTGCGACTGTGGGCTAACAGTGGCTTTGATCAGTTCCTCAGTGTCATGACTGTTTTTCTTCATTGTCCAAACTGGTAAGGTTTGTTGGGTATTTTCTTGGAATTAGTTTTTGGGTTTTTTGTTTTTTAAATACGTTGATCAGTAAAATCTAGATTATACATGGAATAGCTTTAGAATTATCAACCAGTAGTGTGTATTTAGCCACTGCATAACATGTTGTCCAGTCATTCACTTGTGTCCAACTCTTTGTGAACCCATGAACCATCGGCATGCCAAATTGTCCATGGGGTTTTCTTGACAAAGATATCAGAGTGGTTTGCCACTTCCTTCTCCAGTGGAATAAGATAAGCAGAGGTTAAGTGACCTCCTAGGGTCACACAGCTAGTAAGTGTCTGAGGCCAGATCTGAACTTAAGTCTTCCTGCCTCCAGGCCCAGTGTTCTATCCACTGAGCCACGAAGCTGTCTCCTACCTGGCTGCCTGCCTGCTGCATGAATAACACAGTTCCTTAGTCATAGCAGGCACTTGGTAACTTTTTCTTGATTAATTGATGGCTAAGATTAGGTGCATGAGAATAAGACATATAGATGTTAAAGTGGTATAGTCCAACATAAACTATGAATCTACCAAAGCCTCTTTAACATTAAAGTTACTGTTAATTTCATCACTGCATCAAATTGGCCAGTTCACTGTTTCAGGTTTCGCTTCGCAAAAACATGCCAACATGACTTGCCATCCAAGTGCTTAAAAATCAACGGATCAAAAAATACCAGATACTCTGGTATTTTTTGATCCGTTGATTTTTATATTATGTTATAAAAATAAATGTTTTTTATATTATGTTATAAATGATTTTTATATTATGTTATAAAAATAAATGTTTTACCTGGGCGTCCAGATTCTTTCATTGATTCCAAATAACAGATCAGATCATCTGTTTTCACCTTATTTCCCCACCAATATGGAATTCCAGGCCATAGCTCCTTGTGCCTATGCACAGTAAACTCATCTTCATATGAGACAATAACCCTGTAACCATGTCTCCACAGTTGCTTCAGTGTCAACAATTCCTAAAAGGCATTCAGAATTGGGAAAGGTTACTGATAACCGATAGACATGGGTTCAGAGGAGTTTGTATGTCCACTGCTCTCAAAAAAACGTTTCAACTCTCTCTAGTGCAAAAATGACTTCACCTGTGTTGACAATGTTTATCTGGATGTTTTCCTTAAAAAAAGAAAAACAAAACAAAACAAAAAAAAACTAAGAACAATTTCAGGCACATATTTACAAGAGAAATCATTTTTCTTCAAAAAGGATCCCTATTAGAAATAATGCTTGTTTTGATTATAGCACTACATAATCCAAATAGTGTCTTACCAATGAAGTCATATCCTCACAACACCAAACCTTCCCTGTTTCCATCTACAACATCCATTAATTAGGTTCTATACCTAAAGCAAATTGTACAAACACTACAGGTCACGCTATGTCTAATTACCAAAACCTCAGCTTCATAAAAGGTTAATATCCAGGCACATTCTCTAGAAATAAAGAATGTTGGCATCAGACAATCTCAGATTTGGAGGAGACTTCAGAGGCCAATGAGTTCAAACAATCCTTAAACAGGAATCCTCTCTACAACATTCCCAACATGGGGTCATCCAGCCTTTGCTTGAGATGATGAGGGGGAATCGTGACCTCCCAAGACAGCCCATTCCACTTTTGGATAGCTCTAGTTATTAGGAAGCTTTCCTTATTTTGAACCAAAATCTGCCTGTGTGAAACTCATCCAGTGCTCCCAGTTCTTGTCTGTAGGGTCAAGATGGATGCCAAGAATATGTACATAGCTCATCCTTTTGTTTTTACAACTAAAGTTATTCAAATATAAGCTTTTATTACACGGGCAGCAACTGTGATGGAATGGAAAGAATTTAAATTTAGAATTTAGAATCCTTACACTTAAATTTGAATGTTGGTCATGATATTTACTTTGTGTTCTTGGACACATTTCACCTATCTGAGCCTGTTTCCTCATCATACTAGCACCTGACCTACCTACCTGGTGAAGTTTTTGTGAAAGTCAAACAAGATAATTTGCTCAAAGTACTTTGTTATTTGTAAGAGGAAGAGAAGGAAGGATGGAGGAAGAGAGGGAGGAACAAAAGGAAAGAAGGAAGGACAAAAGGAAAGAAGGGAGGGATGAAAGGAAGGGAGGAAGGGACAAATGGAAGGAGGGAAGAAAATGGGTGAGGGAGGAAAGGACTTATGAAGTGCCTACTATGGGCCAAATAGTATCAAATAACAAATATCTCATTTTATCATCTTCCCAACGGGAATGGAGGTAGGTACTATTATTTTCTCCATTTTACAGTTCAGAAAACTGAGGCAGTTAAATGACTTGCCCAAGGGCACAGCTAGTGTCTGAGGCTAGATTTGAACTCAGGTCTTCTTGACTTCAGGCCTCTAGATAGGAATAGGGATTGGGCATGAGACTACATTAGTATATAAAATTCCCTCTACCAGAGCAGGCCAGCACCTTCTCTGTAACTTATGGTTTTAGAAAGCTGGATAAAGCTCTGAGAGGTCAAGCAACATCCCCAGGGTCACACAGCCAGTACATGTCAGAGGCAAAACTTGAACAGATCTCCCTGACTTGAGAGTAAACTCTCTATCCACTATGGCACACCGCCTATCAAACTGTAAAGCTCTGTATAAATATATACAATTATATCACATAATGTCTTACTGCTATTAAATCTAATCTATTTTATGCATTTCTGTTGATTCTTTGGTCTCCTTTTTGGCATGCTGAGTCACCTTCTGCCTCTGTTACAGCCTAAGGATTACAAGATAAAAAACAGACCCCCCCAAAAAAGCACAAGTTTTCACACTACATATGCGTGAAGAAAAACCATGCTTAATAAAAATGTATATTAATTGCATTACAAGACCTCACTGAAACTGCGTATCCTTAGAAAGCATAAAAAAGGTTGGGTTTTTTTGTTTTGTTTTGTTTTGGGGTGTGTGTGTGTGTGTGTGTGTGTGTGTGTGAATTTATACAAGGGATAGGAACATTATAACACTACAGGTCAGACTATATCTAATTATGATCCCATTGACTTGACAAAACCCCAAACATGAAATAGAGAGAACCCCAAATCCTCAGGAAGATGTAACACAGTATTGGCCCTTAACTCCTATGAAAAGGGATGTAACTCAGATTAGACTCCTGAGCTATCATAATAAAATACTAGCCTCTGTCTAGATGAGTAAGAGTAAAGACTCCTTGTTTATGCAGAAAGTTTTTGAGGTGCTTCAAAGAAAATCGGAGTAAAAGAAATTTGTGCAGAAAATTGACAGTAGTGGACAGTATGCTTACATTCTTGGAGTTTATTAAACATATCATGCTGTATATGAACTTGGATAAAACATCACTATGAAATGTGATAGGAAAATAACTTCATGTGCAATGAGCTCTCAATAACCTTTGGGTTTTTTATCTGGGTTATATCTTAACCACAACAAATCCTGCTTTTAGGTTTATGGACCACATTTAGAGTATTCTGCTTAATTACTTGCTCTGTGGGAATAGGCTTATAGGATTTAGAACTTCAAGGGATCTATGTGATTGTTTAATATGACCCTCTTATTTTATAGTTGAAGAAATCAGCCTAGAAAGGTGAGGTTATTTTTTTAAGGTCACAGAAGTAGTATTCCAAGCACACCGCACATTTTTCTTAGAAGTCTTTGTTCCTTTCAAATTTCTATGCAAACAATAGTGTCTAGACAAAGTCTTTCCTGATTCCTACAGATGCTAGCCCTCTCCTCCTGCCCAAAAAAACAAAAAATTACCTTATATTTATTTTGTAGATACTTATTTATATGCAATTTTTCTACATGAAACTCTTAATTGGATGACACAACTTCACCACCTACTCAGTGACCCTGCCACCAGTGAATCACTAGGGCTGCCATGTTCTTAGCATTACAGTACATCCTTGGAACAGTTATGAAGCAGGGGGAAGGCAAGCTAATCAAAACATCCTGCCACATCAGCTAAAAACAAGGGAAACTCATTTAACACTAAGAGGATCCCAGGAAATGGTGTGCACACCAGCAAAACACAGCAATGTCTTGTGAAACTGTCAGTGCAGTGAATAGAACACCAGGCCTGGAGTCAGGAAGACCTACGTTCAAATCTGGCCTCAGATTCTTATTATCTGTGTGAACCTGGGCAAATCACTTAACCACTTTGCCTCAGTTTCCTCAACTATAAAATGATGATAATAATAGCACCTACCTCACAGGACTGTTGTGAAGATCAAATGAGCTAATCTTTGTAAAAAAGTGTTTAGCACAATGCCTGGCACATAGTAGGCACTCTATAAATGTTTATTCTCTTCCCCTTTCCCTTATGCCAGTTATTTATGTAATTAAAGTTACCTAAAAACTCAGAAGTTTCCATTGTTTCACAGGTAAAGGCAATTTTCCCCATTAAGGCGGGCCCCTACCTTATTCCATGACCTTAGTGTAGGGTGGGGAACCTGCGGCCTCAAGGCCACATGTGACCCTCTAGGTCCTCAAGTGTGGCCAAGTTTGGATCAGTCAAAGAGCCACACTTGAGGACCTAGAGGGTCACATGTGGCTTTGAGGCCGCAGGTTCCCCACCCCTGCCTTAGTGCCTTTGAACATGGGTTTCATGGGTTACTGTGACCAAAAAAAATAATAATAATAATAAGGTATCACCTCACAGCCACCGTTCTGGTGACAAGCTTTTCGGCTCTCAGCTTGGCTGGTCCATCAATGACAGACGCAGACATATCACCAGACTGAAACTGTGATTCTCTTCATTTACTGGGACCTGGAAGAACTTACATTTTACTACCAAAGTCTTTGTGAAACCAGGGTTTCTTTCACAGCATTATGAGGCAGCAGAGCAGAACTTTTGTAGAAATTTGTTCCACTACTTACTATAAAAACTTTGTCTATCTTTCAGAGACTGAATTGTTTTCTGGATTGCTAAAGGTTTTGTCCCTTTAAGTACTAAAAAAGTTCTAACTTTATGGGGCAGCTAGGTGGCAGAATGGATAGAGCACTGGCCTTGAAATCAGGACCTGAGTTCAAATCTGGCCTCAGACCAAACACTTGACACTTACTAGCTGTGTGACCCTGGGCAAGTCATTTAACCCCAATTGCCTAAAAAAAAAAGTGCTAATTTTAGTCCCTTGGGATAGATACACACCTACACATTTAAAAATCAGTAAAATTAATAAAAAGATTTTGAGAGACAATGAAAAGAGCACTAGATACGGACTCAGAAGACTTGGGTTCAAATCCATCTCTGCCACTTACTACTAGATGAATTTGAACAAGACGCTTCCATTCTCTGGGCTTCCATATTTTTCATCTGTAAAATGAAGGGGTTGGACTCATAAACTCTAAATTCTCTTCCATCTCTAACTATGTGTTCCATAAATAAATATATTTTGAATTTTCAATTAAATGTTTAGGTTCATGAAATCATTGCTCTACAACTGGAAGGGACCTCACAAACCATCTAATTCAACTCCCTCATTTTAGAGATGAGGAAACTAAGGCCCAGGAAGGTTAAACCCAAGGTCACTTAGGTAGTAAGTGTCAGAGGTTGGACTTGAATTCAGAGGCGATGCAAATCATATTGCTTCATCAAGTTCTACTAGGTTTTTACTTGGCATCCAATAGCTCAACAAGCTTGTCAAAAACCACAGAAGCTTAATGTTTGAAGATTCTACGTCTGTATTTGCCAGGGGAAGAAAGGAAGGAAGGAACGCATTTATTAAGCACCTACTATGTAACAGGCACCATACTAAGCACACAGGAACCACCTGAGGATTTAACTCTGGCTACTCTATTCATTCCTCTTTCTTGGAGGTGGGCCTGTTTAGTTGGAAACTTGTTCAATCAATTTTCTGTATGAACTTCTTTAACTAACTTGTTGCTCTAATTTTTTTTTTTTTGAGGGCCTCCCAAAGTTTCCTGCATAAACAAGGAGTCTCTACTTTTGCACAACCAGACAGAGGCTAGTGTTTATCGTTACAGCTCAGAAGTTTAATCTCAGTGTCAGAGAGAGGTGCAGCCCTTCTCATAAGAGCTAAGGGCCATTCTGTCTTACATTTTCTTCCTTAGGACTTGGGGTTTTCTTTATTTCCCATCTGGTGTTTTCTCAACCCAGATTGTCTTACCCAATTAAAGGAAAAACCAACCAACTAAACTGAAGGAATATGAAATATTTCACTTACACCTCTGGGACACAATGTTTTTCCAAAAATGTTTTTTATACAGGTGACAAGATACTGATGAAGTTCATTGGTCATTCCTTCGAAATTCCTGCAGGCTAATATCACCACCTCCTTAGGGTGATTCTGTAACCACTCTGAAATGTCTGTTAGGGTATCCTGTGAAGGGAGAAAAAATCCAAAACAAAACAGATTTAAAAGGCTCAAATAGAGCTCAATATTGAGAAAATAATACCTACTTTAGGCCAAAACTTTTAAATAGTTTTGAGACTCCAAACTATCAAGTTGCTGCCCTTATTATTGAAATTTTAAATTTGTACTTTTGTTCAAACAGTTTCCAGCTTAAGCAGTTGCATGGAACAATAAAACACAAAGCCAGTTTGAATAAGAGTGACTGGCAATTAAATAAAATAAAAATTGCAGCCTAGCCTTGTCACTCCATTAAGGTCAGGTCAGTTTAAAGGGTTTTGCATTGAACCTTGAAAAGTCAATAAATAGACATTCATTGGCTCGTGGCAGTGGAGAATTCCAAAGACCTACATGGAAAACGTTCTGAGTACGTTTCGTCAAAGTCCACATTAGAAATGGCAGGCAGTTCACGGGGTTTTGACATCAGTCCAAGAGGTAGAAATGATGTTATACAATCAGATTTTGGGAGTTAGTCCCTCTTTTCAGTGCAAACAAGCACAGACTTGTAAATTACACCCTTTACTGACAGGAGATTGAGAGGGAAACAAAATCTGATGCCATTTTATTTCAACCTTCCAAATCTTGCCATGAACAGATTTCACTTATGAAAGACAAAGATAGGAAACATAACCCTATGGGAACCAGGTTTCAGACCATATGAGATGTCCTTTCTTTGCTTTCCTGCAAATGTTCTTTTACCGACAGATATTGTGCTAAAGCTCCACTTCCATACTGAGAAAGGTTAAAGGGGAAAGAAGACTCTATCACCTGGGCTGAGTTTAGTCATGGTTCCCACGCCGACCATCACTAAAGCCATCAGAGCCAGTATTTCTCCACCCAACTCTCAAAGCCATATGGAAAGCCACACAGTGGGTAAATTTATTGCTCCACTTAGAAAATATTCAGGACCCTGCATGTCCCTTGTGTGATCTATGAGCCTCTCTGCTATTGTTCGGAGAAAAAATAACATTATCTCCTCTCCCTCCATAAGCCTATTTAGACTCACAGAACAAAGAACATGTGTCATAGTTGTTTTTCTTTTAGTAGACTAGAGAGCTCTCCCAGTATAATAAATACTGTAGGAGTTACCTTGCTTCCTAAATCACTTAACTTCCTATCAAGGAAGAGGTTGGCCACTGGGAAGAAGCTGGCCCATTATTTTAAAAAATCAGTCCTCTTCATATAAGATGTGTTTCCCTGGAAATCAATGTTGCTTTAAGAACTAAGATTGATCAAAGGTCAAATGTCTTTATATTTTTCCAATAGGATACATCTAGAAAAACCAAAATAGTAGCTGATAAATCCAAACCTGGATGAGGTTTCCTGGTCCAATTCAAAATTCAGTTTATTGCAAGTCAACTGATCTTAACTCTTCATCAGTTTCACTATTAAATCATACACTCCATATCTCAGTACCTCCACTAAGGCTGTTGTATATATAAGGTGTACAAAGTGCAAATTCTTCTCAGAGCCATCGATCATGTGAGCAATCCTCAGATCAAAATACCGGATTCCAGCATCCAGCTGCTCATTTATATTCAGTGCCTACAAGGTAGAGATCACCTTAAATACCTTTGTTCACTGCAAGGAATACCCAGTTCTTCATATAATTAATTGTATCATTGGACATCTATGAAACAGACAAAACAATTTTTTGTGCTTTCACGGGCACATTTTGAGCTTTAGCAGGGCATACAGTTGTAAGAATAGAACACAGCAATAGTAACTTAGGCTACTATATAAATAACCACCAAGGAACTGTGATTTCATCTGTGTTATAGATCACCACCCTTCTGAGTCTCAGAGACCTAAGTGACTTGCCCATGGTCATAGCTAGTAAGAGTCAAGAATGGGAGGGGAGCTAGTAATAATGATACAAAAGAACTCAGAGAAGAAGGAAGAAAGATTTTCTAGAATCAAAGAGAGAAAGGGGCCCAGATACCTAATATCAGGTACAGGGACATAGGAAACATGAAAGTAGCCAGTCAGATGGTACAGTGGATAAAGCACAGTAGGTGGAGTCAGAAAGACCTGAGGTCAAGAATGAACTCAGACACTAGCTGTGTGACCCTGGACAAATCACCTAACCTGTCTGTCTCAGTTTCCTCATTTATAAAATGGAGATTGCCAGGGTCATTGTGAGGATAAAATGAGATTATATTTGTAAAGCAGTTTGTAAACCTTAAAGTGTCATATAAATGATAGGTCATTATTATCATTATGATTGTTAGCCTAAGGAGTGGAACAAAGAATAGGAAAAAGAGCCCAGCCCAAAGAAGGAAATCCAACTGAAAGAACTAGGCTAGTGGAAGGAAGAAGGTGAAAGGACTTCTGTTCGAGGAAAGGAACATTAGAATCCTGAGGGCAGAAGAGCATACCCCCTAATACAGCCCCCAGGCTTGTCCCAGCCTCACCTTTCCTCTGTTCTTCTTTATGGGTATCAACACATCCTTGTCTATCATAATCCCTTCTTGGGCAATTAAATCCCTAAGTGACCCTGAAAGAATGTCAGCTGTGTGTGTAAATGCCAAGCCAACAGTTCATTGGAGCACAAGAACATTTAAAGCCTTATTACCTGTGTTGTCGACCACTTTAATACCACTGGACGAGTGATGCAAGGAATCACCTTATTTAACACCTGCAGGAGCTTTGATTGATTTTGTGAGATTGGAGATTTCTTATTCAGGCAGTAGGTCATTGTATCATGGCTCCCTGCAAATAAGAATGAATATGAAATCTTATCTCCTGTCTTTGGACTAATTTAAAAAAAATACATAGTAGCCTACATACTATCTATCTGTCTACCTATCTACACACACATACACTACACACATATGTGTGTATATATGTATACATACACAAATATGTATATATACAGTCATATATAGTCCTATATATGCATATGTATGTAATTATGGTGTACACACACACACACACATAAACACACACACATGCACACATATATAGCCCAGTACTATATGTAATAGGGGGGGCAGTTAGGTGGCACAGTATAGAGTACAGGGCCCGGAGTCAGGAAGATCTGAGTTCAAATCCAGCCTCAAACATTTACTGGCTGTCCCATTTGCCTCAGTTTTCTCAGCTGTAAAATGAACTAGAAAAGGAAATAGCAAAACACTCCAGTATCTTCACCAAAAAAACCCTAAATGGGTTCACGAGGAGTTGGACACAACTAAAATGACACCAACAAGATATGTAATAGGGAAGTTGGATCTGAGCATGCACCCTGGCCCCTTACTGGTACATGTGCTCTGAGCCTTTCACCCCTGCTCCATATACATACATATAAATATGTTATTAAAACTTTAATATAATAGTTTACATTTACATACCATAGCATCTTATAGTTGTCAAAGCTCTTTGCTCTGAGAAACCCTGTGAGGTAGGTGGTAGGAGCATTATTATCTCCATTCCATAGATGAATGAAAAAAATCTGGCTCCAACCTACCTTTCCAGGTTGACATCACATTGCAGCTCTTCACACAAAAGTGACTTACTTCCTGTTCCTCTAACTCAGTGTTCCACCTCTCTCCTATGTGCCTTTACATAAGCCATAATCACCCTTGCCTAAAATGTACTTTTTCCCTACTTCCCACCTCACAGAATCCCTGACTTCAACCAAGGCTCAAGAATTCAGCCTCCTTCAGGAACCCTTTTCAGATCTCCACAATTGGTAACATTCTCCTTCCTCCGCCAACACCCCCCCCAAATTATGCATTAAAACATCAACAGTATAACCTGACACTAATAAAAAAAAAATAAGGACAATAAACATGGGTGGTGAGGTGAGTTTGTGATAAGTACTTCTTAAGGGTAGGGAGGAATCAAATGAGCTTCCAGGGTGAATGCCCCTAATCAGATTCCCTAAAAATTAAGCCAAACGGACAATCCCAGCGAGAATTTCACGCAAATCCATAGTAAAGACAGAGACATGCGAAACTCCACACCATATAAAGAAGCCCACATTGGGATCATATCAGCGGGATTTTGATGACTGCGGTCACTCATCCAGTGTGGGCAGCTGAGACTCCATCTAGTCTTTAGCCTGACTGATAGAGGGAGCCTTGAGATCAGCTGGTCCAGCCTTGCATGATCCCAGAGAGACCCCTGGTTACACTAACCTTCCATTACTGCCTTCCTACTTCCTGCTGCTAGGGAAGAAGTGAGGAGGAAGGGCGAAGGTGCCTGCTTTCCTTTCATAGAACGGAACAGTTATCCAGTAACAAGTACAGGAACCCCCTTTCACATTCAGCCTTCTCTGAACAGGGAAATCATCTCCAGAATTTGATTTTAAATAAAATCTTCAAAATTTTCATTTTTGTTCCCGTGGGATTTCTGAAGAAGCAGAGGATTCATAAGGAGGTTGGGATAGTGGGGAGAAAATAGAAAAATGGGGCACTTGTTTGTCCCAGCAAATACATATTCTTGTCAAAAAAAAAAAGAATCATTGACTGTTAGACCCAAAAAGGACTAACAAAAAGATCTAGTCTGATCAACTCTTTTTAAAAAAAAACAGCTTGCTCCTCCCATTCTCTTGTCCCCTTTCCCCTATTCCATAAAATTGTATTTAAACCATACCTTTAACCTGGCTAACCTCCTTTGCCCCCTACTAGAAGCAGGGCATCATAATCATCACTGATTACTTAATTCACATAACTGTCCCTCTTTCCTCTAGGGGTATTTCATTAAGAGGATGAGTGTAAAATATCCATTATTTAGAAAGAGAAGTTCTGGGGCAGCTAGGTGGCACAGTGGATAGAGCACCGGGCCTGAAGTCAGGAGGACCTGAGTTCAAATGTGACCTCAGACCAAACACTTGATACTTACTAGCTGTGTGACCCTGGGCAAGTCACTTAACCCTGATTGCCTCACTAAAAAAAAAAAAAACAGAAAGAGAAGCTCTTTGAGTTACTGCTTTCTTTACAACCAAGCCTCTCTCTTCTCTCTATTTCCTCTACCTCTCTCACACCACTTGGGTTATCACCTGCCTCTATGCTTTTACCTAATCTCCTACTGAGACAAAACAGTCAGTAGTCCTGAAGCTCCTGTTCTCAAAGCACCTTGGACTGCATGCGCTTAGGACATCTGCGCGTGACCCAGGAGGCCTTGCCAACAGTCATTCTACCGTCCAGTGACTGAGAGCTCACTCTATCACCAGAGTAGGGTCACACGGCCAAGAGAGCCAAGGTACACGGGAAAAGGCAACCCAAGGACTTCCTCTGTGGTGCTCTCTCTACTTAGAAGTGATGCTTGAATGGAAACTTGAATTGTGTGTTTTGCTAAGTGGTGATCATTATGACCATGCAAAAGTCATTTAACCTATACCCAACTTCTCAAGACCAGAGTAATTTTTCACTTGGAAAGGGTCCACTCACTTCTCTGGTGTCAAAGCTGGGGGAGAGCCAGGAGCAAACACTCCAAAATGCTAGAGGCCAGGAAGTTAGATTGCTCTGATTTTTGGAAAAGAAATTTAGGTGGGAGTGCTGGATACAATAAATTTAGATTGCAGCATGACTAGAGGAGAGTGATACTAGTGCTTACAAAAAAGAGAAAACAAGAAAAGGCCTACCATGCCTAATACTTAAAACCCAAGGAGTAGGGGGGTGGATTTTTCTTCATATAGAGTGTTTTGAGCAATATCTACATGGTTCCCTCAGCGATGGTCCGCCTCCCCTCTTAGATCTTACTTTTACTCACCAGCCATACATTCTACCACACACTGAATCTCCCCACCTGCTAAGAAACATCCACACCTCCTTCTTTCTGTGGTGACACAGAGGAAAGAAGCAAACCATAAAACAGGCTGTTTTTTATTGTTGACATGAAAAAGAATCAGTCCTTGAGAAAAGCTGTATCATACATTTGTTGTTGTTGTTGTTCAGTCATATGGGTTGTGTCTGACTCTTTATGACTCTATTTGGGGCTTTCTTGGCAAAGATAATGGAATGGTTTGCCATTTCCTTCTCTAGCCCATTCTACAGATGAGGAAACTGAGGCAAACTGAGTTAAGTGACTTGCCCAAGGTCACATAGCTGGTAAGTGTCTGAGGCTGGATTTGAACCAGGTCTTCCTAATTCCAGGTACAGTGCTCTATCTGTGCCACCTAGCTACCCATCACACTTTTTTTTTTAAAGATAAAAATTTTATCTTTTAAATTAATCAATTAATTTTTAGTTTTCAACATAACAATTCCATAAGATTTTGAGTTCTAAATTTTCTCCCCCTCCCTCCTCTCCCTTCTTCCCAAGATGGCATGCAATCTGATATAGGCTCTACATATACATTCATATTAAACAGATTTTCACATTAGTCATGTTGTAAAGAAGAATTAGAACCAATGGGAAGAACCATGAAAAAGAAGAAACAAACAAACAAAAAAGAAAAACAAAGAGAGAGAGCAAGTAGTATGCTTCCCTCTGCATTCAGACTCCATAGTTTTGTTTTGTTTTTTCTGGATGTGGATAGCATTTTCCATCATGAGTCTTTTAGAGTTGTCTTAGATCCTTGCATTGCTAAGAAAAGCTTACTCTATCAAAGTCAGTCATCACGCAATGTGGCTGTTACTGTGTACAATGTTCTCCTGGTTCTGCTCACTTCACTCAGCATCAGTTCACATAACTCTTTCAGGTTTTTCTGAAGTCTACCTGCTCATCATTTCTTATGGAACAATAGTATTCAATTACATTCATATATCACAACTTATTCAGCCATTCCGCAATTGATGGTCATCCCCTCAATTTCCAATTCTTGGCCACCACCACAAAAAAAAAAAGCTGCTATAAATATTTTTGTCCTATTTTTATGATCTCATTTATGCACAGTTTAATAGCCCTTTTGGCATAGTTCCAAATTGCTCTCCAGAATGGTTGGATCAGTTCATGACTCCACCAACAGTGCATTAGTGTTCCAATTTTCCCACATCTTCTCCAACATTTATCATTTTCCTGTTTTGTCATGTTAACCAATCTAATAGGTGTGATGTGACACCTCAGAGTTGTTTTGATTTGCATTTCTCTAATCAATAGTGATTTAGAGCATTTTTTCATAGCTTTTTTTCATAGCTTTTCATTTTTCATAGCTTTAATTTCTTCATCTGAAAACTGCCTGTTCATATCCTTTGACCATTTATCAATTGGGGAATGACTGGTATTCTTATAAATTTGACTCAGTTCTCTATATATTTTAGAAATGAGGGCTTTATCAGAGACGCTGGCTATAGAAAGACACTTGTCTCCCAGCTTTCTGCTTCCTTTCTAATCTTAGTTTCATTGGCTCCGTCACACATTTAGCTTAGAAAAATTAGCTACTTTTAGCATAGAGAAATGAAGACTTTGTGGGGAACATAATCATGGGGGTATAGATTTAGAGTTGGGAAATCAAGGTTATCTCATACAACCTACTCATTTTACAGATGAGGAAACTGAGGTCCAGAAAGATTAAGTTGTCTTTTTTTTTTTAAGAAAATTATTTGCCCAAGGTCACACATAGTAACTTTCAAAGGTGGGATTTAAATATACGTCCTCTGACTCAATGAGTTTCAGAGTTGGCATTTAAATACAGGTCCTCTGATTCCTAGATCATGCTTTTCCCACTGAATGGTACTTCCTGATCAGAAACAGCAACACATGCCTGCTGAGGGTTTGCTTACCTGGAATGGAAAGATGGTGAAGAGGGATGTCCCAGAGTTTGGGAGGCAGCTCAGACATCCATTGTGCATTGGTAGCACTCATGTTCTAAAAGCAGGTTGAAGAGCTAGGCACCTCAATTGTTTAGTACAGGTCCTTCTTCCACAGATTTTGCCCTAGGAAAAAGGAAACAGAGCTTTTGCTTGTTAAAAATAACAGTGGTACAAGTCAGAATTCCCCTGACATAGAAGGCTGCCTCTCTTGAAAAAGAGTCCTTCAAGCTCCACTCACTAAAAGCACAAGAACATATTCACCTGTTTAGACCAAGAATTTTGAGGAAACTTTGGGGTCTCCATCAAAGACTTCATTTGGCAATTAATGAGTGTGCCACTTGGTACCATTTTTTGTCCATCGTATTTTTTTAAAACTCTTTAAGAAAGAACTGATAGGATTGGCTAATAGGACAAATAAATGTTGGAGGGAATGTGGAAAAACTGGAACACTAATGTACTTTTGGTGAAGTTGTGAACAGATCCAACCATTCTGTTTTGGGGGTTTTTTTTGTTTGTTTGTTTTTTTGTTTGTTTGTTTTTGGCTAGGCAGTGGGGTTAAGTGACTTGCCCAGGGTCACACAGCTAGTAAGTGTTATGTGTCTGAGGCCAGATTTGAACTCAGGTCCTCCTGAATCCAGGGCTGGTGCTTTATCCACTGTGCCACTTAGCTGTCCCCGAAATCCAACCATTCTGGAGAGCAATTTGGAACTATGTCCAAAGGCTTATAAAACCGTGCATACCCTGTGATCTAGCAGTACCACTGCTAGGTCTATATCCCAAAGAGATTTTTTAAAAGAGGGGTGAGGGAAGACATACTTGTACAAAAATATCTATAGCAGCTCTTTTTGTGGTGACTAAGAAGTGAAAATCAAAGAGATGCCCATCAATTGGGGAATAGCTGAACTAGTTGAAATATATGTGATAAAATATTGTGCTATAAGAAATAACAAGCAGGATAATTTCAGAAAAATCTGGAAAGACTTATATGAATTGAGGCAAAGTGAAGTGAGCAGAACCAGGAAAACTTGTACATAATAACAGCAATATCACATGAAGATGAATTATGAATGACTTAGTTATTCTCAGAAATATAATGATCCAAGACAATCACAAAGGACTCATGATGAAGCATGTTATCCACTTCCAGAGAAAGAACTGATATTATCTGACTATATGCTGAAGCATACTATTTTCTCTTTCTTTCTTTTCTTCTTTCCTTCCTTCCTTTCCTCTTTTTTTCTTTCTTTCTTTTTTCCTTCCTTCCTTCCTTTTTGTTTGAGTCTTCCTGTACAAAATGACTAATATGGAAATGTTTTACATGACTACACATATATAACTTATAATAGATTGCTTACTGTTTCAGGGAGGGGGGTGGGAAGAGACAAGGGTTTAGAAATTGGAACTTAAAACTTAAAAAATGTTAAAAAAAAGTTTTAACATGTTAATTGGGGAAAAATAAAATATTTTTTTAAAAGAAAGAACTGGGGTGGAGCCAAGATGGCAGAGGGAAAGCAGTGACTTGCTAAAGCTCTCCCCCAAACCCCTCCAAATACCTACAAAAAATGACTCTAAACAAATTCTAAAGCAGCAGAACCCACAAAAAAAACAGAGTAAAACAAATTTCCAGCCCAAGACAGCCTGGATGGTTGATCGGAACAGTATATCATGCCGGGCTGGGAGAGGAGCACAGTTCGGCGTGGGCACGCAGGCCTCAGTGAACCTGGAGCAGGCCTCAGAGGACTGAATCGCGGGCAGCTGTAGTGGTTTCCAGACTTTTCAACCCACGAAGGCCAAAGACATTTAGAAGGTCAGTTGGAAAAGTCTGTTACTATGGTGACAGAAGAAGCTAGATCTCAGCCACCCCGAGGGCAGCAGCTGGCTTCTGAGCTTCCTGCCCACAGACTGAGGGGGAATCTAGTGGCTGATCAGAGGGGGATTGCAAGGATCTCTTTGCCAGGGCTGAGGCAGGAATCTCTTGCTTTGCCTGTGCTTGGATCTGGGTCACAGTTCTGAGGGGCACTCCTGGGACGAGGAGGAGTGCTGGCGTGGTGGAGCTTGTTGTGGCGGTGGAAAGGAAACACCTCGCCCCTTATCATAGCACCTTGGAAGAACTGACATTTTTCAGGTCCCTAGAAGTATCTCTGAAAACAGCTGTACAAACCCCCAAAGCTTGGGACAGTACATTCTCCACATTGGAAATAGACTCTTACCTTAACAAAGAGTTTAAAACTCAAGTAATTGGTTGGGATCACGAGCAAGCAGTGCAAAAAGAGTCAGACTATATCATCTTACTTTGGTGACAAAGAAGATCAAAACATACAATCAGAAGAAGACAACAAAGTCAAAGCTCCTACATCCAAAACTTCCAAGAAAAATATGAATCAGTCCCAGGCCTTGGAAGAGCTCAAAAGGGATTTTAAGAAGCAAGTAAAAGAAGTAGAGGAAAAACTGGAAAGAGAAATGAGAGTGATGCAAGAAAATCATGAAAAACAAGTCAACAGCTTGCTAAAGGAGACCCCAAAAAATACTGAAGAAAATAACACCTTAAAAAATAGCCTAACCCAAAGGGCAAAAGAGGTCCACAAAGCCAATGAGGAGAAGAATGCCCTAAAGAGCAAAACTGGCCAAATGGAAAAGGAAGTCCAAAAGATTACTGAAGAAAATACTTCCTTAAAAATTAGAATAGAGCAATTGGAAGCTAGTGACTTTATGAGAAATCAAGACACTGTAAAACAAATCCGAAAGAATGAAAAATTAGAAAACAATGTGAAATATCTCACTGGAAAAACAACTGACCTGGAAAATAGATCCAGGAGAGAGAATTTTAAAATTATTGGACTATATGAAAGCCATGATCAAAAAAAGAGCCTAGACATGATCTTTCAAGAAATTATCAAAGAAAAATGCCCTGATATTTTAGAACCAGAGGGCAAAATAGAAATGGAAAGAATCCACCAATCACCTCCTGAAAGAGATCCCCAAAGGAAAACTCCTAGGAATATTGTAGCCAAATTCCAGAGTTCCCAGGTCAAGGAGAAAATATTACAAGCAGCCAGAAAGAAACAGTTCAAGTACTGTGGAAACACAATCAGGATAACACAAGATTTAGCTGCTTCTACATTAAGTGAACGCAGGGCATGGAATATAATACTCTGGAGGGCAAAGGAGATAGGATTACAACCAAGAATCACCTAACCAGCAAAACTGAGTATAATTCTTCAGAGGAAAAAATGGTCATTCAATGAAATAGAGGACTTTCAAGTATTCTTGATGAAAAGACCAGAGCTGAATAGAAAATTTGAGTTTCCAATACAAGACTCAAGTGGAAAATGAAGAGGTAAACAGGAAAGAGAAATCATAAGAGACTTATTAAGGTTGAACTGTTTACATTCCTGCATGGAAAGATGATATTTGTAACTCATAAGACCTTTGTCAGTATTAGGGTAGTTGTAGGGAAAAAAATTATATGTATGTGTATAAATAGATAGATAGATAGATAGATACATAGAGGGCACAGGGTGAGTTGAAAATGAAGGGGTTATATCTGGAGAATAAAATTAAGGGATGAGAGAGGAATATACTAGGAGAAGAAGAAAGGGAAAGGTAGAATGGGGTAAATTATCTCACAAAAAAAAACAGAAAAGAAAAGGCTCTTATAGTGGAGGGGAACCGGGGAAGGCAAGAGGAAATGAGTGAATCTTATTCTCATAGGATTTGATTTAAGGATGGTATAACATACACACTCAATTGGGTATGGAAAACTGTCTTGCCCTACAGGAAAATAGGAGGGGAAGGGGACAAAAGAGTAGGGGGATGATAGAGAGGAGGGCAGATTGGGAAAGGGGGTAATCAGAAGCAAATACTTCTGAGGAGGGACAGGGTCAAAAGAAAGAATAGAATAAATGGGGGGCAGGATAGGATTAAGGGAAATAGAGTTAGTTTTTCACAGCATGTCTACTATGGAAGTGTTTTGCATAACTGCACAAGTACAGCCTATATTGAGTTGCTTGCCTTTTCAATGAGGGTGGGTGGGGTGGGAGGAAGGGAGAAAATGTGGAATCCAAAGTTTAAAAAAACACATTTTGAAAAAAATGTTTTCACATGCAACTGGGAAATAAGAAATACAGGAAATGGGATACAGAAATCTATCCTGCCCTACAGGAAAATAGAAGGGGAAGGGGGTTGAGATAGCAGGGAAAGCAGACTAGGGGAAGGGGTATTCAGAATGGGGTGGGGGAGGGGCGAGATGGGGTGAAAATTTGGAACTCAAAATCTTGTGGAAGTAAATGTTGAAAACTAAAAATAAATAAATAAATAAATGAAAAAGAAAACCTGGGGGGGGGAAAAAAGAAAGAACTGATAGAATCTGAATGTAGATAAAAGCATACTTTTTTAACTTCATATTTCTTAGTTTTTTTCTCTATGTTTTCTTTCACAACATGACTGATATGGAAATATGTTTTGCATGACTGCACTTGTATAAACTTTATCAAATTGTTTGCCTTTTCAATGATGGGGGAGGGGAGGGAGGGTGGAAGAGAATTTGGAACTCAAAACTGTAAAAAAAAAAAGTTTAAAAATTGTTTTTATCTGTAGTTAGGAAAAATAAAATTTTTTAATTGAATAAAAAAACCTCTTTCTATGCATTTTCATCCCTCTTTAAATAAATGGAAAGCCCCTTGAGAATAGGTGCCATATCATGTGTATGTTATATGTGTGTGAGTCCCTGCGCATGCATGCCTGCATTTCCTGGCAGGTCCTTGCATTATAGTAAGACTTTTTTTAAATATGCTGAATGATAGCAGTTAGGGGCATAGGATCAGGAAGCTCATTATAGGGAAAACCTTATCACCCTAAAAGATCCCTACAACCTAGGTATTACACCTCATTACAATCTCTGATTGGAGGGTGAGGCCACAAACTCCAAAAACTCCATCAAGGAGGGAACACAGTTCAGAACATCTCCTCATTTCTCACCTGGCCGCACTACTTTGGAACTCCTCTGACTTTTCCACCCTGCCCCTATGTAGGATACCTTTTTTGCCCCTTCCACATCCCTTACTTTTTATCATCCTTTTGTGGGTTGTCTTCCTCCCCCCCATTAGATTGTAAGCTCCTTGAGG